GAAGAATGGTCTAAAATACCTTCAGCCACAATCCAGACTCTCATTAGAAGCTATAGGAAGTGTTTTGAGAATATTGTTTTTGTGAAAATAGGATCTACTAAATATCGAATTAAGGTTTTCTTTTCGGTGCCCAAATTTATGCACCTGCCTAATTTTGTTTAAACAATTATTGCACACTTTCTATAAATCATATCAACTTCATTTCACTTCTCAAATATCACTGTTTGTCCCCTATCTGATATATTTAACAGATTCTTTTTATCCAAACAATCAATTATTTATAAAGATGAATCAGGAAAATTAACAAGGCTGCCCAAACGTTTGCACCCCACTGTATATTTAAAATGTTTCTTTCAGTTTTTTGTTTGTTTGTTTTTTGGGCTTATTTGTTTGAGTAATGTTTGTTTTTTTTAATTAATTTTTATTTTGTTCTGTGCTCTGGTGGATGACTCTGACTGCAGCATATCCTCAGTGTTGGACATGGAGTCCTGCTGTGAGGGTCATGGTGAGGTCAGCTGAGGTCGGCTTGCTTCGCCCACCATCGTGATGACCACTTCCATTAAATCAAAGCAGACCTACAGCTACAGGCAGTCCACTTACAGAACGTGTTTTTTAATAAAACTTTTGTTTCATCTTTCAGAGTGTAAATGTGTTTCATTATGACAGAGCTCTGTTTGAACTCACCTCCGTCAGAATGACTTTCAGTTTGGAGACACAAAAACTTTATTTCTAAAATGTTATCATGGCTTTGTTCAGTCTGAGCGCACACCGTCACTTCAGATGAAGTCTTTGAGCTTATATGTGCCAATCTCTGCTCTGCTTTATTTCTTTCTCTCGACAGCTTTCTAACATTCTGACCTCCAAGGGCAACCTCGGGAGCCCCCGGGCTTCACCCTCGCTGGCCCCCAGTAGCAGCTAAACACAAAGAAGCGCCCGTCATCTTGCCGGACAAAAAGGCAAACGTTCCCTGCTCTCCCCTCAGGAGTCCAGCCAAGCGCACTGGTAGCCCATTAGGACCTCTGGGTTTTATTGACCCTTTCATTTTGCTCCTGCAGAGAGTCGACAGGGGCGTCAAGTTTGTCAGGTGCTCCGGCTGGGACCTCCTGACCACATCAGACACACACACCCCAAGTTGCGTATTCCCGATTCACGGTGTCGCTTTCCATATTCTCCACTCACCACTGAAGCGTTATTTTGTGACAGGGAATGGATCGGCCTTGGTTACTATCTAAAGGCTTTTTTAAAGAAACATATACACATCACTCCCATCTCAAGAGCACAAGTGATTAAAGTTGAAAGGCCCCCTTTTTTATTTAGTCCCAAAATGGGAATTTAGGAAATTCTGGAAATCTTTAKCTCTGCTTAGAGAATGGAGACAGAAATGTGTGGGAGGTGCAGGAAAACAAAAAGTTTTAACTATTTTTACTCAACCAGAAATTTAGTAAAAAGTTGGTTTAAGGAATCTAAAGCAGGTAACATTTTAATTGTTTAAAAGTATTACACAGAAGTGCACAATAAAAATCTGAAGTTTCACTTGTACATGCAGTAAGATGTTATAATAAGGTGGTTATAAAAAAGATGTTATCCATAAAATTTGAACTTTGTTATGAGGACAGGTTTGCCTCACCCTAAGTCAAAGTACTAAAAACTTAACATTTAGTAAACAAATGATATCAAAATAAAAGGATAWTGTGGTAAAACCTAAAGTTTTTTAAGTCTTTGTTAAGTTATTTTAGGATTTGAGCAATCTTTAGTCTTAATGCCACTCATCTGTTATGAAAATATCTCAAACGATAAATTCTGCCTGAAGACATCCTGTGAAATTTTTCTCACATGATGTTATATTTGCCTCAACTGTAAACACAACTCCCCTTTTTATYGCCACATGGAGAACACAGGAACGGGTGTGTGTGGTGCTCTTTGTGCAGCCACCATGCAAAATCACCTGATTTATCTGTTTGTGCTCGGGACAAAAGTGGTTCTTGTTGTGGCACGCCAACAACCGAACCCGCATTTGTGAAGCACAACTAAAAAAAGCCCCCTCTCAACCTTTTGTCCCGTAAAAACAAAGAGCTGCACTTTTTCTTGGCAAACAACACCTAAATTTTGATGTAGTGGTAGTTGTGAGTCAGACCCAACACTGAGTGGGACATTTTGCAGTCAATTGCAGAGAATGTATAGAGGACCAAAACTGACATAATTAGAAATAAAAACAGAAATATATAAATGGACCAATAAATACATGTAAAATGCACCAATTAAATTAAAAAAGGACAACTTTACCTCATTTTGTAATTGACATTCATATTTATTTTTTCAGCTTAGTTCCAATAATTATATATTTTAGCATTTAATACAATTTTACTGTTTTAAAATAGTATATTGTACATGCATTTGTGTCTCTTAAATGATTATCTTTAATTTTTAAATAATTTTTACCCACAAGTCTTTTTATGTGTTGCTTTTACATTTTTCTTTCTCCTGTTTTTATTTTACCTTATGTATTTCTGCCTCATTATTAATATTATAGTGTATTTACTCATARTAAATATAGTATAGTGTACATGTATATATACTCATAGTGTATTTATTTATTTATTTATTTAGTTAGTTAGTTAGTTAGTTCTTCTTTTATTTCTAATTATGTCAATTTCGGTCCTCCATAAGATTGTGCATAACATAAATTTTAAGGTTTGATTAAAGTGGCTACACCTCCACTATTTCCAGATATAAAATGATTTTAATCTACATTTTGAGCCAACCTATTTTAAGGCGACAAAACCTGTTTGCTCTTAAAAGTGAGAGTGACATCTCAGAAGATTTGCATAATCTGATGGCATCGCTGTTGAACATATTGTGTCAAGTGCAGCAAGGTGAAGCTATTTTGAAGGCAAAAATAAACCTTTTCTGTTTTYTTTTCTTGAGGAAAATACACACATTTATGTCACATCACATCACAAAACGTGTCACTTTTTGCACCCCGTGTTGCTCCCAGACAATCAAAGGCCATTGATGACTGATTTTTTTTTCCTTTATCAATAGACTCCATTCATGTCTGCTCTTGGTCTTACAGTGCCCACCATTCTTCAGACACGGCTGGTGCCAAGGCAGTAGCATGGCGGCTTGTCTCTCCCTCTGATGGGAAACTGTTGCTCATGTGCTGGGTCGGCTGCCAAGTTTTGGCATTATTGGTGGTGGGGGGTRATGGGGTGGGTGTACAGAAAGGGGGCCCTTTAAACCCTGTGAGATAGTGCTATCTGCTGTGGGAATGATCTTCATCCCTTCTCCCTTCTTTTCTCTCAGACTTAAACTCCCTTCTCTCTCACACTGTTTCTCCCACTCTCCTCCTCCTCCTTCTTCTCCTCTGTCTTCACCACACAACCTCCCCCCATCAGCAGTAACACTCTCATTTTTTTTCATGCTGTAGATCAGACGACCCATCCTGAGGTGAGCTGGCGCAGATCCGGTACCACTGGGGGCACTTTGATTACCGGCCGGCGCTGACTGCTGGATCTCTTGCAGCTTCTTTGGCTCTGTTCCCAAACACACGACTAAAAGACACAACAGTTTGGAGCTGACAGACTTAGCTGGCTCTCATGTGTGCTGGAGCTTTCATTCAGACACTAATGGGGGCAAAATCAGCAAAGTGGTTTCTCAATTATTTGTTTTGTGACCTTTGAAAGGGAATGGTTTTGAACTTTAGATTAGTGTTGGACGTTTGGATGAGGATGATGGAACTGCTTGTACTTCTGTAAAAATAAAGATGTGTCTTACTTAAACTGAGCTAGAAGAAGTGAAGGGTCAGAAAGATTATTTAAAACATGAGAAATTGAAGGTATAAAGCTTGCTGCAAGGGTTCAGAGACAAAGACCATCTTCTGCTAAGAAATAAAAGAACTGTATAGCCATTTGGTCAAACCCTGAAATTATAGTTATGCTCCATTATTGCAAGATGTAACACAAAAAGCCATTACATTGTTTAGTCTCAGCATGACTTGTTTCTCTCTAATTTGACCCTGGCTATACAGGACCTCAGTAGTTTTACAAATAACTGCTTTGATAATGATGGGTTTTAATGGCACAGCTATCCAAAACCAAATGCCGACAATAAAAGACACATAAAGTCATGAAACACCCACCGTTCTCTGCCACCGTTTCCAAAAATGTTGTGGCTGTTGARTGGATTCTATGTACAGAACTGAGAGTAAGCGGGACCACCCAATGTAAAGATGCTATAACCTGGCACTGGGCCAGCCCTAATGAGGTCGAGTCCATGTAAAAAAAAGCTGCATATGTTGGGACTGATTCTCAGTTTCATAAAATTTTAGTTYAATATCTGTAAAACTGACTGAGTTATAGCAGTCATCTCTCACTGTGGAGTTAGTCTAATTCAAGATGAGACTCCATAATTAGATGATTGTTTCATTACAGTGTGTCCACTGATACATGAGGTATCTTGGTGACAGACAAGCCAAAGTATTATTGCCACTCTTCATCCATCGGGCGATGGTAATAAAGTCTTTAACTACTTTATTTCCACAAAATGCAGCGTTTTTTTTCCTCCTTCTTCTCTGACTGAACTTACATCAAAGTTAAAGTTAGAAAATCTGAGTCTGATGTGTTTCCTTAAGATGCCAGCGATGCATAAAGTTTTTTGAAAGCCTTGATTGTTAATGTTCAGTGTGTGATATTAATGCGAAAGATAAACATTCTCCAGCTGAAAGCTTTGCCACTGCGCTCCTTTTACATGACAATAAATTTTCTTGAGTCTGTTTTCAGTCCTGCTAAATTTATTATTATTCATGTGACATGTTGTGGTTAAATCCTTCTTCTCTGTCTTTTTTTCCCTCCTGTTTAGAGTCAGGATTTGAACTAATATTGGTGCTGCAGGGATCCAAGTATTCTCTGAAAGCCCTTTATCGTATTGTCACTTTTCCATCTGCGTGGACTCATGTTTCATGTCTTTCTTTTGCACTCTTGTTGCGTGTCTTTTATGTCAGGGACTGGTTAATGTGGGTTTATCCATCCATCCAAGCGATTAACGTGAGCTTATTCATCATTCCTCATTGACAAATGATTTTTGGAACAAGTCTAACTGTCCACTTGTATGCAGATCCACATGAGGACACCTTTAAGGTTCGAGATGTGGGTTAATTTCAGCTTTACGTCTAAAAGAAGGCATAAGTAAACTGTTTTCTTGCTCTCCTCTCAGATAGAAACTTTGATTTCATGGTGTTGATTATTTTTCTTCACAGTCACTCAAGGATGAAGCAGGAGGACTTGGAGATTGTTGCCCATTTGGATTTGCTACAAAGGAGCTTCTTGGATTAAAAAAAAACATGGAGGTTTTTTTTCTTCTTCTTCTTCTTCTTCTTCTTCTTCTCTCCCCCTCCCCCTTTCTTCATTTAAACAATCCAGATTGAAAGACTTTTATTAAGACACTATGGTCACATATAGCGGGCACCAGCTTGCCAAAAACAAACCTCTTTTGATCTGAGTCACTTCTTATCCTGTGGATGGTAAATGGGCATTTTCTGCCTATAGACCCAAAAAAATAGAGAACTTTTTTCACAGAGATCTTACATGAAACTCAAAATTGTTACTATTATGTTGATTGCTTCAGTCTAAACGGTAAAAAATGCATAATTTTACTTATAAATACGTGCTGTAGCCTTGAAACAGTTGTTTAATCCTGCTCAGCCTCATTTGCCTAAAGATATGGATGAAGTTCAGACAAAAACATACTTTCTAAACCCTSTGAGAGCCTTAAAATAAAACTGTTGACCCAAAGCACAACTTTCAAAAACTTTTACACTAAAGGGTATGAAATGTTTCATCTGGAATTACAGGAAAGGAGTGCGGTTTGGGCCTGGTTTGGTTGTTGTTTTGAGTCTGGAGTTGGAGGTCTAAACGGGGCAATTATGTTCAGGTCTGATGATTGTATGTTTGTGACATTCTAAATAGGGTTGGGCGATATTGGCAAAAAAATAAAGAATCACGATTAATTGTGGTATTTAGCCGATAACGATTCATTTGCCGATTAATCCCCTGGAGTCCCWGGACACCCTTATGTCCTGGTCAYRTGACCAATTTAGTGGGAAAGATTTGCTCTTCGTAAAAATCTTTTCCAAATTGTGTCAAAATCACAGACTTCAGGCTATACTTCAAAWTTTTAATTGTGTTGAAATAAATTACAGAACTTTTGTTTAAATGTTCRTCATATTTGAAGCAGAGAGGAGCACCGAGCGGACAGACTGGAGAATCCCGTCAGTCTGCCGGGTGGCATTAATCGTATTAATCGTCAAGTGCCAAAAAATAATCGATTAATGTTTTTCTGACGAATAATTGCACASGAYACGAAWATGCCCAACCCTAGTTCTAAACAAAGGAAAACACAAARTCAACAAAAGAAACAGTGGAATATACAGTAAAACATTGGCAACTGTCATTAATTTTGTTGTGAAACCTATGATGACATTGTCAGAATGATGCAGTTAGAATTGAGTTGTACTTTTGTTTTACAACAATTTACTATAACTGTATAAGGGTTTTTATTTAATTTTACACATTAGCAAACTTTAAAATTCTATTTCTAAAATTGTCTTTTTATGAAAATCATAAAAATAAAGTGTGTTATTTTATTTGTGGCAACTTAATGAAGTGATGGTGACATCCAGTTTTGGAATAATGATTTTTTTTTCAGCTTCTATTTTACTTAAACWGTTGATCCACTAAAAATGTTGTTATTTGGGGGAGGTTTGGGGTTTATTTTGTAGGTTTACATGTTTCATAAKTGTTTTGTGTATTAGAGTGTTTTTTTCTTCCTGTGTTTTCTGCTGAATTGTCTCCCTTCAGCCTCCAGGTCCACTTCACTCAGTCTTAAAGTCCAACTGTTTACTAACATTACATTATAAYGCATATGATTATTTTAACATGGTTACATTTTCAGTTGTAATCTTGTTATTATATGACCTGATTTAGTCAGTTTTGACTAAAACATTTTTGAAAAAACTATTTTTTCTAAGCTATTACTCAAAATATGAAATGAAGTAAAAACAAATGTTCTTTAAAATCTTTGACACAGTATATACTCTGGGATAAATTTCGCGCATTTTATCAGTCAAGTTGTTTTAGCCAGAACTATATTATTTCCCCATTTTTGCTCAGAAACAAACTATGAGCTCAGATCAGTAGGACTTAAAAGACACAAGCTCTATCTTAGCACCAGCTGATGATATATTTGACATTTATAATCATATTGGTGATGTCATTTTCAATAAAGAACTATGAGAGCAAAGAATAAACTCATTTGGGCTATTTGCTCACAAAAATAAATTCTACAAGTTTGTGTCACTTGTTTCAGTTTTGTTGAATGAATATGATGGAAACAGGCAACCTATGTTTTTGATTGATGTAACAGGTCGTTTCAAATGAACCAGCATAACTG